GGAAAGGAAGAGGAAAAAAGTCAATAAAAACAGACAAGGAAATCTCAAAATTGAAGTTATCTGACACAGACATTAAAATAACTTTGAGTAAAATATTTTAAAAATAGATGACAAAATGAAAAATTGTATCAGAGAAGTAACCTATGAAAAACGGGATCGAATAGAAATTATGAAACTGAAAGATGAAATAACTGAATTAAGAATTCAATAGATTAGAGCAGAAAAGCTGATTAGTAAATCAAAAGACAAATCAGTAGAAAATATCTAGACTAAACTACATAGGGAAAAAGGAAAATGCAGAAAGATAGGCAGTACAGTGAGACCTCGTGTATATTTAATTAGAATCCCAAAACTGCAAGAGAAAAAGTAGGGCAGAAGTAATATTTAAAGTGATGCAGGCCAAGAAACTTCTATAACTTAAAATTTTCATTCAGTCCACAGATTCAAAAAGTTACATAAAAGTATCCAAAAGGAAAAAAGCATCAAAAGTAACACTGAAGCACATCACAAAATTACAGAATAACTGCTAAAATACAAAGAATAAAAAGAATCATAAAAATAGCTACAGAAAAGACAAACATCATTTCTATGGAGGAAAAAATAAGCAAACACGTGGCTTTATAACACAAATTATAAGAAACCACAAGACAATGGAATAACTTAAAAAAAAAGCCTGAAAGCAATTTTCAATCTGTAATTCTTTGTCAGCCAATAAATGCTTCAAAAATGGAGAAGAAATAAAGACATTTTCAGGTGTATGAAAATTGGGAGAATTTGTTTCAGCAGACTTGAAGTAAAAGGCAGGAGGAAAAGAATCCCTGAAGTGGCTTAGAAATTTATGAAGACACAAAGACTAAGAAAAGCACCAATATGTGGATCATTCAAAATAAATATTCACAATATATAATATATGCATCACAACATATAATGAATGCATAAGTAACAGCAACAGTGTTTTCTTGCCATGTGATTTTAGTTCTACATCTGCTGAATACCACACCATACCAAAAAATGATAATGGTAGGGCATGTTCTAAGGGCACTGCATTCATTATGTGGGCAATGTTCACAGTCTAACTTATATTAGACGTCCTCAAAAATATCAGGAAAACTATTTTTTTAAAGGAGTAAAAGAATAAAACCATTAGAACAGAAAAATTTCAATTTAAATGGAAAATTCCAAAATAGACAGGAAAAGGAGAAAATTGAAAACAAAGAACAGATGGGTTCAAATAGAAAATAAATAAAAAGATGACAGAATTAAACTTAATAAAAATGAACTAAGTATTTTAATTAAAAGACAATGACCATTGGGCATGGTGGTGCATGCCTATAATCCCTGTGGCTCTGAGAGTAAAGCAGGAGGATCACAAGTTCAAAGCCAGCCTTAACAACTTAGTAAGGCCCTGTCTCAAAATAAAAAGGGCTTGGGATGTGGTTCAATGGTTATGTGCCTCTGGGTTCAATCCCTGGTATCAAAAAAAAAAAAAAAAAAAAAGGATAATGACCAAGACTAGTTTTTTGTTTGTTTTTAATTAAAATATCTGCCATCTACAAGAAACAGAAAAGACATAAGAAAAATAAAATTTTAAAGTAAAAATTGTCTTTATCGACCATGAAATCACTCACCAAAAGAAAGCTAATACAACTAATCAAATAATGGGCAAGAATCATTACTATAGATAAGAAGTGTATTTTATAATGATACAAGAGTCAATTCACCAAGAATATATAACAATTCTAAATTTGTGTGTGCCTAGTTGTATAGCTTTACATTTTCAACACCTAAATCAATGAAATGAGTAGGATTCATCTCAATGTATACTGAACATTCATTTTGCTTCAGTTCCAGGAATATTTTGAGATATATAAATTATAAAATACTTTCTATAATTTTAGTCATAATTTTGGTCCTAGAATTTCGCTTTACTCTAATAAATTTAGTTAGAAACACTGATAGCAAACATTGCATTTTATGTATTTAAATTTGTCTAGTAAAATTATCTTTTCTTATATTGGGTAACATTGTGTTAAAGCTCCCCCCTCCATAAACCTATCTTGATAATGTATATAAATCCTTCATTCAGAGAATATATCATGTACAAGATTTTAAAATATGGATTTTTCAATAGGATGCAAAGTGATCTTAGAAATGTCATAATATAAACTCTTCGAGTTCCCATTTTATTACCTCTAATATGATGGTAAATTATAAAAACATCCCACTTAATGCAATAAGAATAATGTAAGTCAGGCTAAGAGAAGACTATCTGTTCAGCACTATTAGATATAAATAACAAATAAATTATAAATTATTCTGGGGATCTAGACTATAATTTACTGATTATGAAAGTAACTTTTATTTTAAGTAATATCATCTAGGTTTTTTACTTTTATTTAGTAATACTATTGATTAACATATTATGACTGTTTAAAATTAAAAATTCAACAATAAATTGCTCTAAGGAAAAAATCTGGTTTGAGTTCCTAAAACCCAGTTTGTACTAACTTTTTGTATATTTTTCCCTAATATTTTTAATCTTTCAATGAACTTCTATTATATTGCTATCTTTTTGCAACATTCAGTATGCACATTAAAATTATATATGTGTACATATAAAGGTACATAGATATATTCAAATATCATCTATACTCAGTTTCTTCCTTTAAAAGAAACAAATTCTTCCTCTAATTGGCATTAATACCTCCAGATTTTCTATCTTACACTTAAAGAAAGAAATCAGTGTATAACTTCAAATGTTTTAATCCTTCAGTTAGTTACCACCATGACATTCTTATTTCATTACTGGAATTAGTATATCACGAATTTCCCAGTAACCCTACTAAATGGCCTAAAATATATTCATTAAAATTAAGAGACCAAAGAAAAACTGTTCTCTCCTTCTAAGGGCTTTCATTAAAATGAAATGTAACATAAACTGAACATCTAGTATATACCAGAAATTTTTACATAATTTATCTTATTTAATCTATTATTCACATTTTTTAGAAGAAATATAATTGAAGAGGTAAAAGAACCGATCAAAGGTTATACATGTTACGAGAAAAGCTAGGCTTTGATCCTAGGTTATGTCTTGTTTATGAAACCAATATCTTTCCACTAACAGCTGGCAAATGTAAAGAACCTGATAGTTAATATTGTAGTTTTGCTGGTCACATTAGGTTCTACTGACCATAGTCTCTAACAATACTACTCAAATCTGTAGTAGCACAAAAGCAGTCATAGACAATATGTAAACAAATGAGAGCAGTTGTTTTCCAGTAAAACTTTAAAATACTTCAAACTGTCAAAAACACTTAAGAAGAGAGATATATTTAACCCAATGCCCCATAGTTTGTCAATCCGTGTTCTATACTATAATGCATTCCCTTTTAGAGATCTTTATCACTAACACCACTACATTTTCTTTTCTCTCACTTTTAAAATAATATCTCAATTTTACTGAGCCATTTTATTTTAATGCTTTTCTTATTAGGCTTAATTATATGAAACAGTTTACTCAAGAGAATTCTGACAAGTTCTAACTATAATACTCATTATACCAGAAATTAATCTATAAATAAGAACACATATTTCTAAAACCAGAATGAACAGCCCATATTTAAAATTCTCTTTTCAATTTTTTTCAGTAATTAGATTGTAATTTCAATTGCTCAAGTATATCTCAATAAATATAATCATAAGCCCTCACTGATATATACAGTGAAACACTAAATATCTAGAAAATACTTTTAAAATTCTTCAAAATGATCATGTATACTACAACAATTCAAGCACACAGAACTTAAGACTTTCTCTCGTAATTTCCCTTATTCTCAAATTCAATTCCCAAATTCTGTATCACCACAGAACCTTTTTTTTATATAAAGGTTTAAACAGTATAAACTGATATAAAAAGGAATGAAAAATTCCTTCTCCATCAGAGGTTTTATTCTTTCTCCCTTCCATCCCTACCTTGCATCCTCACCTGTAAGCCTGATCATTCTTGTCTGTCTGTCTATCTCTCTCTCTCTCTCTCTCTCTCTCTCTCTCTCTCTCACACACACACACACAAACACACACACACACACACAGTATTTTTAAAAATGCAATCCAACACCAAATAAAATGGAAAGCATAATAATCAAAAAATACAAATATCAGGTTCAAACCTCAGCCCTATAACTAAAACCAGGTGAATAGTCACTTCTTAGCTTTGTGTCTTTTGGTACACCTCTATTAGTCTCTCTGTCTTCACGTGGTGTTGGAAAATTACAGGATGAGTGAAAATAAGATGTACATAGCCCAGTGTGGACACAGGGAATCAAAATTTCTTGTTACTGCCATCACCACTATCTCCACCACTGCTACTGTGGGAAGTCAATGTCTACTCCACTCCTCTACAACAGGGAAAGCACTGCCTTGAATGGTATAAACATAAGGATAACTCTTTAAAAAACACCCTGCAAACTCACCTTATTATTATTGTTAAAAGTCAAGGGCAGAAGGAATCCTTTTTCTCAAGAACTTTTGTTTGAGAACCTTTATAAAATTAAACTGTTTCTATGTTTTTTTGTTAAATTTCTTGACACATTTCTTAATAGGTACACTACAGCTGTACATAATGATGGGATCTGTTGTTACATATTAGTATATATGTGCACACAAAATAACAAGAAAATTTAGCCAATAACACTCCCCCTGRATCTTTATTCCTGAAAAAAGAATTTAACAGTTTTTTCTTTGTTTTTCATCATGTAGGTATTTTAAACCAAAATACATGTATTAAAAGATCTAATATGTTGGTTTCTAAAAAAAGCTACTCAACATTAAGAAATAATCATAAAGGGATCAGATTAAGGTCTACTTCTTAAATTCTAACAGTTTGGGGCTTATTGTTTTTTGTTTTTGTTTTTAATCTTTTGCCCTTAAAGGAACCATCATGCTAATAATTGTATGCTACAGCTACTCCAACATTAGTGTATATAAACATTTCTTACCAAATTACGCTTTTTTACTGGAAGAAAATAATAATAGTGGCAGAAAGAAAACATCAGTGCGTAGCAAGTAAGAAGTTCAGTGTAGAAACACAACTGTAGAAAAAGCCAATGATTATCTTCACCAACACAATTGTTAATCCTGAAGAAAAAAAATGAAAAAGAAAAAATATTTTAAACTTTAACAAGATGTTCATTTCAGGATCAGTAAGACTAAAATTAAACTTGCATTACTTCATATATGCTTAATTTCATTGAGATGTGCTAAAGCCACTCAAACAGAAAAACAAGCTGTATGTTAAAAAAAAAGATATACCATCTTACATTTGTAAAACATTTCTTACTTAACAAAGGTAAACCCACATATATACAATAATTCTTCAACTCACAACAATCCAGTGAGGCATGAAGAACAGATATTAAGTAGTCTCCTTGTGTCATTGATGGAAACAGAAACAAAATAGTTAAACCACTAGCCAGAGAATGTACAGTTAGAAGAGCTAAGGGCCAATAGAGAAGGAAGAAAGAACCCTCTTTTGACATTCTTCTTCCAGCATAGTGTTCTAACTGTGGAGAGCAATGTGAAGTAAAACAGCTTAAATTTGCTACTCTGACATAAATGCTAAGTGTTTACAATTTTCTTTTTAAAATTCTATTCCTGGTTGCTGAAAATACAAATGTATTAAAAATCACTTAAAAATACTAAAAGCTACATTTCCAGCAACGTAACAGAGAAGTCTAAGTAGGATAAACTATTAATGTTATAATTCAAAATTTTTCAAACACTAATTTAAACTGAGTATTAAACTGTTCTTAACTTACATAATATATCCAAACTTTCAAACTATTATAAAATTCCAGGAGAAAACTCTAATTTAAAATTAACTTATATAAATATTTTCATTTCAAAACAGTATTATACTGTCACAGAAAAAAAGAAAAAAGAGATAAAAGGTTGTGCTCCTAGTTTAAACTGTTATTTTTAAAGTATATCACTAAATTATTTTTAAGTAAAACAGAACTGAGAAACCTTGTGGAGGCATTTATTAGATTTAAGAGTACACATTTTGTAAACAAAAAGATTTACTGTTGTTATTTATAAGCAGGGTTGTAAGAGAAGTGAGCTTATGCATGCACTCAAAGATGTTCTTTAAGGGTTGGGGATATAGTTCAGTTGGTAGAGTGCTTGCCTTACATGCACAAGGCCCTGGGTTCGATCCCCAGCACACACACACACAAAAGATGTTCTTTAATAGCTGTGGTTTAAAAGATGATATCCTTGTCCCATGTTTCCTATACCCAAGAAGTTTGGCAAATAGCTGCTATGATCACTGCACTCTTAACCAGAGAACTTTAATAAGCATTAAATCTATTTAGATCCCGTCCTTTCCAATCTTATATAATCTTTTCTACTTCTCCTCTCCTACCACTACTGTGAAAACTTTAATAAAATTAGGGAAGCAATAAGCCTAGAAACAGAGAAAAATACTTCCATGATAGAATTTGGGTTAAAAGGCACTTCATTTGGTCACCAACAAGCTAGTCTTTATCTCTTAAACAAATATCACTAACTTTTAAAAATACATTTCCAAGCTGATTTCTTTTTAAATCTTTAAAACTACAGGATTCTTTTGCAAGGAAGCATCAATATCTTGGCATAATAATGTACCATGAACATTATTATATTTTTAGTTCATTAGAAACATGACTATAAAAAGTGCTTAAAACTGAGTTCTTCAGTAATTACCACTTTTCTGAATACATGTTTCACATACCTGTTTTTAATCTATTACTGTGATTGCAAACACCATTGAGGTTTAGAAAATTATTTGGGACTTAATTTGTTTAAATCTAAAGCATATTTTAAAAATAATATCTATATGTCACATTATATTATTCTGTTGATAGTTTTAGACAATGTTTAAAATTTTTACATAGTAACAAAGTGCTTTTATTTCAAGTGATCTTAATTTTCCCTAATCTTGGGAAATTATCTTCTATTTAAATAATCAATCAAATTGCCACTAACAGTTTGCTAATTAGCTGTGCCATCAAAATAAATAATCAAAAATTTGATATTTTTGGTACAAAGTAAAAATTTATTCTCTAGAATATTATATGCTGATGCTCAGAAAATACCAGAATGAAACATTTATGTTTTGAAGGATTGATTCATAAATACAAAGTTTTTATGTTGCCTTTTTGTAAAAATTGTCTCCATTCTAGAGTTTTCTTCCTATCTCTCTTCCTTATAATGTGTGAATTCTACGTTTTAACACTGGGATGTTTGAGAGCATTAAGCTAAGTGGAGAAAAATGATAAACGCAGTTATAAAGAATACTGTAATGTAGTTAACTTTGTATAAATGCATGCATGTGTGTACAAACATAAATATATATGTATATAGATATATTTATAAAGTGCTACACTATACCAGTTTAAATATTTATACAAGATCCAATGCTAGGAAAACAGAATTAAATACAATATCTTGTTCACAGATTTCAGTGACAGCTTTGAAATGAGATACAATACAGAATTCTCACAGCATTTGTTTTCAAAAATTCTACTTTTCAACTGAACATTTTAAGTTTTACAAGAGAGCCCCCTATTGACCAAAAATGTTGGCAGTTCAACAGAATCAGCTAATTACTACTTACACACATACAACATGCATGAAATCTATTTTTTTAATTTTTTAGTTGTTGATGGACCTTTATTTTATTCATTTATTTATACGCAGTGCTGAAACTCAAACCCAGTGACTCATGCAAGACAAGCACTACACCACTGAGCCATAACCATAGCACAACATGAAATCTTAATACCTACATCTAATACATAGAACTTAAAAAGGCGTATGGAGTAGAGGCAGGTTATCAGGGTATCTTTAGTTGAAAAAGAAAAGGCAAATAAAAATGATGGGATGTATATGGTTTGTTATAAGAAGAACTAACAACTACTATTTAAGTACTTCCTGCATGACAGATACTGTACCAAATGCCTCATTTAATACAAGCACCTCAGTCTTTTTGTACATTTGGGTGCATGTTAATTTTTATTGTTCTGCTCAAATATCTCCTTGTTGTTAGTAAAGGGAATCTCTGTGGAAAAAAATGCCYTTGGGAATTGACAGAACCATATGACCGAATAAAATATACATATGACCTTACTAGAAATTTTTTTTAACTGAATAACTTAATAAAATTTTTGTTTAATCCTGGCAAGTTTGAGGTTTTCACCAACTTGTTTTTTGTTTTTATTTTTCTTTACTTTTCTTTTTTCTTTTCTTTCTTTTTTGCTAAAAGTGACTTATTCTTTTCTTACCATGGACAGTGATGATCCATTCTTCTCACACAGTGGCCACAGCGGCTGCAATGATGGGAACGCTTTGGTCTCAACAAATTACACTTGTTACATAATTCCCAGAACTCCCTTTCTAGAGAAAGAAATTAAAATGCATTTAACAAAGACAAATGACTAATGCTAAAATTCAGCAACAACTGTTTAGAAGATTTTATAGGAAGTCTTCAATATCTAAGAGATTTCTAAGTCTCCAGGAAAAATGTGCCATAAATGTTGTTGTTTTAGTCTATGTCTGTCTTATTTTTGTGTTTCTAACTTTAAATATTATGAAAATAAAAGATTACTGTTATAGTCAAACTAAGGAACAGAAGCAATGTATTTAAGTTTTGCACATATTGCTAGAATATAAGTAAAATCCAATGACAAAACCCTAAAGTACAAATGAATTATTATATCAAAACAGAATTTATTTAAACAAACTAATTTATAGAAACTGTATTATCTAAAAGCAAAAGAAGAAATAACATGGAGTCCTGGGTTCAACAAATTAATAAGTTGAAATTAATCCTATAAACTCACTAGAAAAACAGAGATGGTATTCACTCCCAAACGCTTTCCATAAACCATTTTTAAAATATCAATGAATTAATCTGAGAATATGTACAGGAGCAAGTTAGAGTAGGAGATCAGAATGGTTTAGAAGTATCAAAATAGTTTCAGTAGTGAGGAAGGTTATAAAAAGATTACTATATAATGCAAATAAAGAGGCTCTTCACAAAACTGTTCTATCACTAAGCAGGGAATATTCTCTGGTATATAGTAAAAGAGCACACAATGACATTCTATGCTAAAAACATGAGGTTTGCATAAGTAAAAAGGCATTTGTTTTCATTATAAACTGTTTTAATCAGACCCATAAAATTAAGGGACAGTCATCTTCCAAGACAAATCAAGTGCTCTTATATAAATGCATCTTTTAATATGTATTGAAATGAAATTTAACTTTTATAAAATTCTTAATTTTTTTCAGCACTTATTTTATACTACCCCATATTCTGACTCTCACATTCACAGTGAGTATTACCATATGCAGAATGTGACTAACATACAAAAGGTGGTCAACAAATGCTTGCTGAAGTATGAAAATTTTAAAATAAAAAAGGAAATATTCTAAATAAAAATAAAAGATATTAGAGGTTTTCTAAAATGATTTAGAAAATCATTTTCTAAATTGATTCCCCATTTGAATTCTATTATTTTAGTTTAATGGCCATGAATAAGTCAACATACTGAAATTTTATGTGGTAAAGCATCAGGGAAACATTTTCTGCTACAGATGTCTCTGAAGAAACCAGTAAGTACAAATACAACCTACATAAAATTGATTTTTCCAATAAGAAAGTTGATAACATTATCTTTTACACTTGAAATCTTATTTTAGAAGAAAATCCTTTTATTTCTTATAGTTCTTATTTTAGTAGAAACATATGTGGGACAGCAACAATATTAAAGCTGAATTTAGATACAATTAAACTAGTATTATTTAACTATAAGTGAAATGGAAACTCATCTATTATGTAACACATTATGATGTCACAAGCATATCATTTTTCTCCACTTAGCTTAATGCTCTCAAACATCCCAGTGTTAAAACGTGGAATTCACACATTATAAGGAATAGAGACAGAAAGGAAACTCTAGGAGATAATTTTCACAAAAGGGCAACATAAAAACTTTGTTTATAAATAAATCCTTCAAAACATAAATATGTTTCATTCTGGTATTTTCTGAGCATCAGTATATAATAGCCTAGAGAATAAATTTTTTATTTCATACCAAAAATGTTATATTCTATGAAAAGAAAGCATTTGGCTATGTCAGAAAAAGCCTATAATTCTGTAGTTTAGACCGCAGGCTGGCAAATTACAGTCTGTAGGAAATCCACTCCACCACCTGTTTTTGAATCCCATGAGTTAAGAATGTGATATGTCAAAGTCATATATGACATGAAAAAATATATGAACTTAAATTTCACTGTTTATAAATAAAGTTTTATTTGTTATATGCCCATTAATTTATGTATTATTCATGGCTGCTTTCTGTGCTACAATGACAAAGCTAAGTTGTGACAGAGACTTATATGGCCCATAAAGGTCAAAATATTTACTATCAGGCCTTTACAGTCAAGAAGAGCCTGACAACCTGTGGTCTGGACCATAAATTTGTTTAAAGAAAGAGCTTGGCTAAATTGAAGATACTACAGAATATCTAAAATGAGAAAGACCTACAAACAGTTATACACACATACATACGCACAATGCATCCCTATGTGTTCAGAGAATAAGTTAAAAAAAATGACTATTATAAAAATCTAGAATCATAAAGTACATCTACAATGTTTTTGCTGTGTTGCAAGTAAAAAAATCCACCTTAATTTAACCTACATACTGATAAAGCATTGCTTAATGTCTTCTCTTTCCTTTTTCAGGGTTTACTCAGCTCAAAATAGGACCTTGGTGAATGATACAGTCTGATATCTGATGATTTACTGTTGAGATTTTTGTAGTAGCCATCTAACAATATAAAATAAAAGCCTATGGTCTGGGGCTATAGCTCAGTGGTAGAGCGCCCACCTGACACGTGTGAGGCACTGAGTTCAATTCTCAGCACCACATAAAAATAAAGATATAAAAATTATTTCAACAATTTAAAAAATAAATAAGTAAAAGCCTATGAAAGAGAGAATCCAATTGATAATTTATGGTACTTACGGAAAAATTAAAAGCAAACACATTTTTTAAGAGAGAGAAAAAAAACAAAACAAAGAGAAAAAACACAAACTGCATAAATGACTGAAGTTGTTTGAGTAAATAACATCACATTATTTAACCTGGATCTCTATTAATGCTATAAATGTCTGAATGAATATAAAGCAATGTTTGGTTTGATTTGGCTGTTTTATTCCCCTTAAGGAATCAAAGCTGGGGACATGGTTCAGTGGTAAAGCACTTGCCTAGCATACATGTGGTCCTGGGTTAGATCCTCAGCATCACAAGAAAATAAAACTTAAAAAAAAAATAAATAAGGAATCATCTTCTGTTCAAGTCTTAAATAATCACATTTTATGGGGCCCTCTCTCTTAATTACAATATTTTAAATCACAAAGTACTGTTTGAGGAAGAAAAATAATACCTGAACCAAAATCAATACAAGATTTGTATCCTAATATAGGTTTCCTAACAGAAATAGTAGGAAATAAATGTCAATAAGTCTCTTATGGAAGACATTTTAAAAACAACATAAGAGGAAGGAAAACAGTAAAACTATGTATGTCCATGATCATTAATCACACATGCATCCTTAGAGCTTGAGGTAAAATTTTGAGGGACAGCATCAAAAAAGACTATATTTAAAAAAAAAAAAAAAAAAGGAAAGAAAGAGAAAAAAACTTGGAAGGTTTTGTTCTGCAGCTCAATTCACATAGCTAAACTATGGAACCAAATCAGGTGTCCTTCAACAGATGAATGGATAAAGAAATTGTGGTATATATATACAATGGAATACTATTCAGACTTAAAGAATGAAATTATGGAATTTGCTGATAAATGGATGGAACTGGAAAATACCATGCTAAGCCAATTCCAAAGAACCAAAGGCCAAATGTTCTCTGATATGTGGATGCTAATTCACGATAAGGGTTGGGGACATAGGGAAGAATAGGGATACTTTGGATTAGACAGAGGGGAGTGAAGGGAAAAGTGGGGGTATAAGGGTAGGAATGATAGTAGAAAAAAATTGGACATTATTACCCTATGTGCATATATGATTATAGGACCCAACTCCACATTATGTACAACCAGAAGAATGAGAAGTTAAACTCCATCTATGTATGATGTGTCAATGTCATATATAACTAATTAGAATAAATTAAAATTTTTAAAAATTAAAAAAAAAAAAAAGATTTTGTTCTGTAACACTATACCAAAAAGTGGCTTCAGGGTCCTGGGGATATAGCTTAGTGATAGAGTGCTTGCCTTGTACCATGAGGCCCTTGGTTCAGTCCTCAGTAATACACACACACACACACACACACACACACTCACAAGTGTCTTTAGAGATGACAAAAACATTGGAGTCACACACTCAAGCTAAGAACTTGACGACAAAAACTAGAGATGATTGTGGTGACAGTTGCAGATCTCTGTGAATATACTAAAAGCCACTGAATTGTACACTTTAAATAGATGATGGCATATGAATTATGCTCAACAAAGTGGTGTTTTAAAAAATCAAAAGATTGAATAAAGTCATTTCATAAAATGTGAAAGTGATAAAAAAATGATATTCTTAAATCGAGGTGTTATTTTATATTTGTTATTTCAAACATGCATGTGAAAATTTCAAATAGTATAAATAGACATGTACAATTCACTTGATTATTTCATCTACATGCCCAAAAGTTTTTTAAATCAAATTCTGGGGATTTCCTCATAAAAAAAATGGGACATTCCCTTGTATTCAACTTGCCTCATATTTAGTGGATTCCAAGTATACTAAAGTTATTCATAAACACATAAACATACACATTCAGAAAGGTATGCAAAATATTTCAGAGTAATTCAATTAAGATGGTTAAAATTGTAAAAGTATTAGGGCTTTAAGTTTCCTTTTGTGAAGAACTTAATTATATAAAACTGTTCAACCTTCAAACATTACTGAATAAATGTCACTATTCTTGGGCTTCAATACTTTATTCATGATATATTATTTTTTACCGCTAACATTTTGTTGCTCTTTTTGCCTGTTAAAATCATATTTATGCTGGGCATGGAGGCACATGCCTATAATCCTAGAGGCTTGGGAGGCTGAGGCAGGAGAATCATAGTTTCAAAGCCAGCTTCGGGAACTTAGCAAGACTATATAAGCAACGTAGTAAGATCCTGTCTCAAAATATAAAAAGGGCTGGGGAAATGGCTCAGTGGTTAAACACTTTGGATTCAATCCCTGGTACAAAAAAAAAATCATATTTACAAAAGAATCAGGTAACCAGCAACAAAAAGTATATGATGACTTCAATTTTCCCTAAAATCATAACAAAGGTGAAAAAGAACTAAAATTATTCAACTGTACATAGATCTATGGTAAAAAGATAAGAGACAAGGCTCTGGGTTTCACACCAGCTCTATAACATAATAGTTGTGTACTCTAGCATAGACAATCCATGCTCCTGAGTACCCAGGCTTCCTACTTCAATTACCATGAAGATCCTGTAATATGAGACAACCACAGACTTTGAAAACATTAACATATAATACATAAATGTATTTTCTGATTGGATAAAATGGAAGTTCTTGGACTCAAAGAAAAACAGGCCAACTGTCAATTAAAACAAGATATAATGCAGATACCCAGAGTCAGAACAACATGCCATGATATCTTCCATCACTAGCATTTATAATCTAAAATAATACTGTGGTCTAATATGGACTCAGTGAGATCTACAGATATTTGTTGGTATTCAAAATGTTTTTAAAATTCTTAATTACGTTTGTTTTGTTGTTATTGTTGTTGTTGTTGTTTACTTTTTTGGCTGTTGTTCAGGAGTGGTAGTGTTGTTGTAGTACTGGGGATTGAATCCAGATTTTTTTATGTTTTTTTGAATGATGAACTTTCTCATAAAAATTGGATTCCAGTTTGGATGTGGTTTGTCCCTCAAGGGTCCATATGCAGAAGACTGGTCCTCAGTGTGGTACAGTGACAGCTGAAACAATCTTTAAGAGGTAGGGCCTAGTGGGAATCACTCAGATAATTGGGGGTACTGTTCTTGGAAGGGAATACCAGTCTCCTAGAGTAAGTTCTCATGAGAGCAAGTTGTTAGGAAAGCCTGAGCCTGGCCCCACTAAGTAACTCTTCGGCTTCTTGTTTGGCAATGTGATTGTTCACTCCCATATGCATTCCCACCATCACCATCCACCATGATATGATGCAGCCAAAAGGGCCCTCAACAGAGCTGAGCAGATGCAGGCRGCCATTCCTGAACCTTCAGAACTGTGAGCGGAACATTTCTCTTTTGTTCATAAGTAACCTGCCTCACCTATTTCATTATAGTAATGCAAAACAAACACACACACAAAAATGGATTGCAGGAGTGGGTCTTTATTATAACTATACCTGAAAATGTGAAGTCAACTTTTGGAATGGTCATAGGTTGGAAGAGTTTTGAGAAACAGGTTAGAATAATGTAGAATGCTGTGTGATGGGCCTTATGGGAAATTCTGGTGAGTGCTCAGAAGATAAGACTAGGGAATTAGTCTTAGATGGAAAAGAAGATTCTATTGGAATAAAGCCTTGTCAGAGTGTATTTCATGTCATTTGGACTTTCAGGAGCCAAAATATCAAGCTAAATAAGCTTTTGCTTTATAAAGTTAGCCCACTTCAGGTATTTCATTATAGTGACAAAAAGCTGAATGATACACCTATTTTGACTTTTTAAATTTTAAGACCCAGCAATCTAATTGCAGGATGATTTCACAGGAACTGGCTTGTGGCTGCCACTATTAGATTCAACAGGAAAACCACAAACCTGACTCCTTTCACTAATTGGTGGTGCCTGGAGCCTGTAGGCATTTGAGTGTTTGATCATTACAAACAAAAAGAATTTATCAGAAATCCATCCAGAATTAGAAAAAGACTTCTTTTTACTTCTGGATTTAGTGTTAAAAGAGATTACACACATATACTGTATATTAGAGAGTTTTTGGCTATGCCAGTTGAGAAGAGGGATTCTAAGGCTTAAGGGTACTACCCTCTCTGCCCCTACCAAAAAACAGAAACAAATTGCAAGGTGGTATTTCTATAAGTTAATAAAAACTAAATATTTGAATGGTATTCAGAAACTTCTATAGCTACAGCCAGGCACAGTGATGCAGGTCTGTAACCCCAGCTACTAAAAGGATCACAAGCTCAAGGGCAGTCTGGGCAATATACAAGACCTTGTTCAAAATTAAGAAATAAAACGGATTATAGATGTAGCTCAGTGGTAAAGTATCTCAGGGTTTCACTCCTATTCCCCCAAAACATAAGAGAAATTTCTTCAGCTACATAAACATGCATAATATTTTCATTTAACCTCTAAAATTTTACAGCCAAGTAAGCACCTAAATGATGGATCCCAAAAAATAATAATCAGGACTTATAGGAGGCTCTATAAGTGACCTGTCACTTAACCTCAATTCACAAGGAATTACTGCATTGGTTTCCAAACTTTTAATGAAATTACTATGATCTTTTGAAAATACTGACACATGTACTGACATCCAGATATTCTCATTTAATCAATATGAGATATTTTAAAAGGCCCCTAGGTAATTCTAATGTGCAGCAAGCTTGGAAGTTACTAAATTACAACAGAAAGTATTGTAGTTCTATAGAGTACTACAAAGATATAAATTCCTTACTAGAACAAAGTACAACGTTCTCAAAATTATATAGCAAAAAAGCAAAAAGCAAGACTCAGGAGGATGAGTTTATACTATGTCTGGTATATAATAAAACAAGTAGTATATTTTTATTTACTTTTGTTATTTAAATGGTTATTATGCAATAGGATGATCAAACATTATGTTTAAATGACACTACATTAAAAAGTTTTCAAATGTTTCACTGACTATGTTAAAACTTGGAGATATATAGGAAACAGTGTTCATAATACTACAAATATTTACTCTAGGCAATATTACATTTATAATATCATGAGGTATATGGCAACAGCAACAAAATTCCTTTCTTAAATAAAAATAGAATTTCTCAGATAATTATATTTCATTCAACAAATATTTGTTGCACATCTAAGTGACAGAGATTCTTCTAGACATTAGGGATATAGCAATAAATGAAGGAAGAAAACCCAAGGAAAATAAATCTATACTCTTACAAAGGTTATATAGATCTGGAATAGGTAAAAGGAGACAAACTGAAAAAGAGAGCCAGGGAATGAGAGGGAAGTGGAAGGGACGGTTTGCAATTTTAAATAGAGAAGTCTGGAAAGAAAAATGTGAGCAAAGACTTTAAAATGGTGTTAAATGATAGATACAAACACAGTATTTAATGAATACAATAAAATACATTGATAAAGATAATAATTCTTGTACCAGCAAAACTGATAAATCCAAAGAGTAGCATACCTCCATGTGGGATCTTAGGGTTCTCTGGGAGTCTTCCTGGGTCAGTTATTGAGGCCCTCACTAAGGCGACCAGACAAAATATGGCAATGCCATAAAATACTATTTAAAATAAATAAATTAATAAATTAGTCATTTACCCTTTAAAATACATTATCAACAAGCATATTTGTGTTTAAAAAGTATATATTAACTAACACTATTCAGGATAAATAATTTTTAAAAAGATGAAATGAAAAATTAAATAATCAATACTGCCCAAACTATACTACATGTTCAATTTTAAATATTATTTTGCATATTAATAACTTATAAATTTGATATAAATCAGTTTCTTTAATAAGAGTGACTTCTCATCAAAAATGATACAAATGGACCCTACTATATTTGATAGCATTTTAAAAAATATTTTACTCTTGAATTTTTCCATTAATTCTATCTTCAAAATTACTCTCAATTAGAGATGTTCAATTGTGCCTTTTGATGACTCTTAAGATGCTTGAGAATAAAGAATTAGAAACTTTTTAATTTTAAAATTAAAAATCAGGAAAAAATAGCAAGGGAAAACAGATTCAGTCTATAATTTCACAATTTAAATTAGTAAGACACATGCATTTTGTTGAGGGAATAAAAACAAAACACACTGCACATGTAAAAGGAAACAATTTGAGTGCTCACTCCTGGACTAACTGCATAGCTATAAGTCAGTTTTATCATCTGTATAAAAGAAATTATATAACCCATAGCTCTTTTGAAGTAGAAATGAGGTAAAGTACATAAAAACAATGTACATGTACATATACATGTAAAATATATCATTCTGATCTATTTTAATCATAAGCAAACCATTAACATGTATTTTATAGCAAAAATTAATTATTCAGAAGTTCAAAGTGAGGTCATAATCAACTTCATAATCAAAATCAATGATTTTAGTAGAATGAAACTCTCATTTCCCAATAATGTACACTACCATCCCCATTCTTAGAACTTCCATATTTGCAATTAAATACAAAACAGAAACATTAAAAATGCAAACATAAACTGCTGTGTTTTTTTTAGCAAAATGGTCTTTATGTGTATTTTTCAGACTTAGATAAATATGGAGATAGCTCTTCAATATGCAAATATATAAAAACTATTATTTTAAAAACTTATTTAATTTTAAAACTTATTTAATTTATAATAATAATAACACTACTAAAATAATAAATACATTAAAAGGAAGATTATCATAGTGGCACTACTCTTCAAAAACATACACAATGAAAAAACTTTAATTATAAAGAAAACAAATAAAGATCTAAAAACTTACTTATTATTACTATGCCTGGAATATGTCCTTCTTCATAGTGAGGAAAGAGGACAATTTTGGGAATTAAAACAATATTGTATAACCAGACAAAGACAATCAAACCCATGCAGCACCAACCATGTGGGTCAACAACAAAGTGAATCCGGAGACCCATTTTGCAGTCCTATAACTGCCTGCTAACCCACAAGGAAAGACAATCCTAAGAAGAAGGGGGGGGAAAAAAAAGTTACAAACATAGAAAAAATTACTTGACTAAAAACTGCATTTCTGGCACCTATAAAATGCATTTACTAACTTTTTTGTATATTTGATTTTTTAACAATAAACACTTATGAAAACAGAAACTTCTAGGTATTAAATTTCACCAAAAGCTTCAAATAATTTAATTTCAACTGTTCATTATGAATTTCTATTACGAGTGTAAACTGGTATTATCTGCTGAAATTAAAACAATATTTGCTCTAACCCTACAATTTCATGTATAAACCCAAGAGAAATAAGTGTATATGTCCAGCAAAAGATTTATAAAAAATTTTTAGTAGATTTAACTGTAAGACTACTGATGGTCACACAAGTCAAAATAGTGTTTATCCTGTAACGAAAGGGTGTGTATTAACTGAAAAGGAGTGTGTTTTAAACTCTGAAGGGCTAAAAATGTTTATATCTTGATGTGGATGGTACCCTGTGGATATATACATATAGAAACATTCACTGAGCTGTATACTGAAGGCTTGTGCAGTTCAGTTTAATTTTAAAACACAATAAAATGTTTTTAAAATCATGTACAAATTGCTAGAAACATTAAAATTCATAAAGCCCAACTAATTTTACTACTATCTACTCAAGAAGACTCTTGTTTAAATGGGGCTTTGTTTTCAATTGAGTATTAATGATCCACCAACAGATCTCCAAATGAGACACTTAATAAGTTAAGATATATTTCAACTATAGATATCAATGAAATGACTTAAAATATATCTACATTTATAATGCTTAAACAATAACACTTAGAATATAAGATTTAGTGGGCACTTTTTATATCAAATATATAGAAATAACAATAAACCAGGACAATGGTTCTTGAACTTGTAAGAAACCAGAATCAACTGAGAAGCTTTAAAAGAATATATATTCCCATTGCAATCTAATAAATCTTAATTCTTCATAGAGTTCAAAAACCAATAAAACAATTTAAAGTGCTTTCCAGGTGTCTGATACAGCTGACTGTTATCTAGAAACCATTAAACCTGAATCTTTACAAAGATGTCAATACTACAGCTATGAGTTGAATTTACTCAACTCAGTAAATATTGACTGAGTCTCTGCTATACACCAGTCACTTGTTAGACATTAAAGATGCAACTAAGACTAAGATATGGTCTTTGCTTAAAGAAACTAACAGTCTAATGGTAAAGAGTCACAAAAATATTTAGTATAATATAGTAAGTTCCAGATATGTACTCAAGTTGTCAGTAGGGGCACAAAAGAAGGAAATAGTTAAATGCGGATTTAAGCAAGACTTTCTATAACAAATGAAAACTGAGTTCAGTCTTAAAAGATGAGAAGAAGTTATCCAAGAAAGGAAAGTGACAATAATACCACAAACAAAAGAAGAGCTGGAGATATATAAGAGTAAAAACTGCAGGAAGTATTACTAACAACAAATCATAAAGCTTTCTGTGACTGGGCACAGTGGCATACGCCTATAATCTTAGAGATTAGGGAGGCTGAGGCAGGAGGATCCAAGTTCAAAACAAGTCTCAGTAACTTAGCAAGGCCCTAAGCAACTCAATAAAAGGACTGGGGACAAAGGACCCCTGAAAGGACCCCTGGGTGTAATCCAAGTACCAAAAAAAAAAAAAAAAAAAAAGTTTCTATGGATAGTGACTGGTAAGAAATGAGAAATAAAGGGCTACAGCAGGAAGGACACAAAGATGACATTTAAAATGCTAAGACTTCATTCTTAGGCAAAGGAAACTTATCAAAGCAGGAGGTTAACCTGATGAATTTGTTTTAAATAAGTTAGTGAAGCTTTGGTATGGAGGATAAAATTAAAGACAAAGATCAGTTACGCTAAGAGAATACAAAAGCCAAACTTAGTTTTAGACAAGGGCCAACTAAAGAAATAGAATCAAACCAGTGAGTCTTATTAATTGATTCAATATTAGGAGTTGCAGAGAAAAGAGTCAAGGATGACTACTAGACTTCCAACTTATATCCCAACTATTTTATTCTAAGAGTAATTTATCTTCAATTGAAAAGCCTCAAAGTACCATTAGAGGCCTAGGATCTAGAGACTATCATGCTAAATGAAATACACCAATCCCAAAAAAACAAAGATCAAATGTTTTCTCAATATGTGGATGCTAACACACAACAGGGGTGGGAAGAATAATAGTTCAGTGGATTAGACAAGGGGGAATAGGAAAGACAGTGGAATGAATCTGACATAACTTTCCTGTGTACATGTATGAATATACCACAATGAATCTCAACATAGTGTACAAGACTGCGATCCTAATTAGAGTAAGATTTCATGCTTGTATAAATATATCAAAACAGAGTCTACCATCATGTATAACTAAAACACACACACATATAACAGAAAATAAAAATAAAAATAAATAAAGCTACCAAAATAAAGATTAAGGAGCTACTTAATTCTTAAAGGAATAATCTGTCTCTCCTTCCTAGATCCTGCAAATACTGGGAAATGAAGGGAGGTGGGGAGACAAGAACTCAAATGCAATACCATTCAACAGTTTTAGTCAGATATGGCCCAAATTAGTATTTGCATAAGACTTCCAAAACAGGAATAGTACCCAGGTTTTTAAAAGTAAAAGCTAAATTTCACTATCCCTTCATTAGAAAATGAAAAGACAGATCAGTTATCATTAAAGAAAATCAGAGAGGATAAAGCTTAATATCTGTGTAATTTGATAGGAATCAGTATTTTAAAAACTAAAGAAGTTCATATGCAAATGGTAAGCTATTTACACAGCTAAAAAGAGAAACATTCCAAAGAATGTTAATTTTTTACAGCCTTGCCAACTACCAAGTGCTAAAAGAAATGACAGAAGGTTCTGTTTCTCAACATGTTCAATATTATTAACTTCATGTACCTTTTTGTCCTTTAATGTTTCAGTTCTGTTCAGGACTAAAAAACAGAATGTGAATTCTAATAATTACACAGAATAGAGTAATTTCATTATTTATTTCTAATTTTATTAACATTAGAAACAGAAAAGCATACAAACCAGCAAAACAAGTGGGAAAATTAACAAATACTCATTCATTTTTTAAACTGTTTTCATTTCTCTCTACCAGAAAATAGCAAAATTTTCTCATCCATAAAAGAGCCTCACAACAGAAAATACTGCATAGTAAAAAGTATCATTTAAAAATGTATCCATTTTTTCCTGAATGCAAAAATGATAAGCTCTAAAAGAACAAGCAACCCCAATTAACAATGAGCACAGGATAGAAAAATAAAACAATGAACAAGATGTTGAATATTTAAATAAATACCTGGTGAGAGAAAATTAGTGCCACATAATCCTTAAAACAGGGTTGTAGAGAAGAAAACGGTTGTCCAAAGAGCTCCAAATCTGATTACAACTACAAACACATAACTGGTAGAGTTGTAGGATCACTCCAGTCAGTTAATATCTACCAGTCGTGGCTTATGGCTGAACAGAAACTATTACACATCCTGAGCAACAAGCAAGCTGAATACAATGCTGCTGCTTGGTCTTAAGGGTGGCATTTTGTTAAGTACTTTCATTAGCAACATACTAATTTATAATATTAAGTGGTGAACTCATAACTCAAACTTTGATGTGACTAGTAGATACACTGGTATTTCAAGATTTTTAAAGATTACTATCTAGTAACTAAACTTGAGTGTAATGACTAATTTCATAATGATGTAAATTACTACAGCACAAACTATTTTTAAAGAAATTATAATTCAACTCTAATTAAACTACACTGAGTAAATATTTACGATGTTCAGATTTTTCCAATGGGATGGATACCACCTTTCCTTTTCTGCCTTTTCAGGCAACTGTATTTCACCACATATTTTCCTCAGGAAGAATATTTATGGAATTAGGAAAAGAAAAATAACAGAAAACTACTATATGACAGAAAATGGTAACATCAGAATGCAGAAATTAGAAAATCATAAAGATTAGCCAAAATAATTATAAGAAATCTTGTCACAGTATATCCCCAAACACAGTTTTGTATGACTCATCATCTTGGCCAAAGTGGTTTGATGGCAGTTCTATGAATATGAAAAACACATTCCATCATTCATTACTCCTGTCTGAAATGTCCCCACTATTCTCCTTAACTCTATTTAAGTTTAACTCACAATTCAGGACAATTTGAATCTCATTTTCCATATGAAATTTTTCCTGGCACTTCAATTCCAATGATCTTTTGGTTCTTAATTTCAATAAAAAGCAAAATTAGAAGAAGAAAACAGCCAATGGTTTTAAAAGCTTGGAATGAGGATGGCCTTCACAAAACCCATAATTTCCACCACATAAAAATTAAAATTCCTGATTCCAAAACACACCAAACACCAAGTCAAAAGATACAGTATCCATGGAGAAAATACTATAACACATGAACGATAAGAGACATACAAAGGAAATACATTAAAAGGCAATTCAAAAATAGAAAATAAAATCCAATAGCTAATCATTACTGATTAGGAAATGTAAAATAACTAGGTATATTTTTCATCAATTTATTAAAAAACTTTCAAGAAGACAGATGATATTCAATGTTGAGAGGACACAGGGAAAGGGCACTCTCATAAATTACCAATGTGCATATAAACTGATACAATCATATGGGGAGGGTAATTTGGCAGTATATATCAAAACGTAAAACCCGTTTACCCAGCAGTTTTATTTTTAGTAATATCGGCAAAGGTACTCGTGAGAGTATACAAGTATATATACATAAAAGGCGGTATAAAGGACACAGCACTTCTTGTAAATTAGAAAAATATAGCACAGCCTACATGTCCATGTAGAAGAGGGGAATGATCAAATAAGTTATAATACATCCATAGTGTAGACTATTCCCAAGTTATTGCAATTTTGAGGGGGAAAAAAAAAGGAAGGCAGACCTATATGTGCATGTCACTACCTATAATGTACTACTGAATTAATAAATTAAGTTTTATGGTGGGAAGGGGGGAAATTTTAACAGTAGCTTTTCTAGAAGAGAAGGGATAGGGGCAGACTAAGAAGAGGCATAAGGGAACTTTCTATAGTGCTAATAAAGATCTATACCATGATATGGAGTCTGAGTTATACAAGTATGTGAATTTGTCAAAACTCAGCAAATGTACACTTCCAATTATTGCATTTCATGGTATGTAAACTAACCTTACAAAACCCCTGTAAATCAATACTGAACTCTAGTTAATGACATATATTAAAGTATGTGGAGGAGGAAGTATACTGATACCTGCAATTTACTTTGTAATGGATCAAAAAATAATAATAAAACTGATTGATGGATAGACAGAGATGAATATGTGATGAAGTCCAATAATAATAGTTATAAAATCTAAATGATGGGTATTCAGATTTAACACTATAAAATTGATTTCCACATTTCTGTTTAAAGTTTTCAAAATTAAATGTTGGGAAGATAAGTTGAAGAATAGTTCCTATAACATTTTTTTTTTTTTTTTTWTAGCAAAAACTACACATAAGTAATTTCTGCATGTGTATAGAGGGGAAAAGTTGTTTGAAGAAAACAGATCAACCAAACTGGATTATCACTGAACTGAAAGAGAAAGAGGAGTGAGGAAGAAGGCTTTCCTAGTTTATGTATATATTTATATGTTCTTCTAAGTTTATCAGTATTATATACAATTCTAAATTATTTTCAAAATAATTTAGAATTATTATGATAATAATTAGTCTATTAAAAATAGACTAAGTGACAGCATTAGTGTTATAAATGTTTAATTTGAGCCTCTATCACTATATATTATTTTTAAAATTAGGATTTTTAAAAACTGCTGTGTGGAAGGATCTGCCATAAAACAACGTAATATTTGCAATTTAGAAAGATATTCCTGTGACTCGTATTATTTACAGCTTATTTCTTTATAAAAAGTCTAATTTAAAAAAATACGCTTAGTTAAAATGTAATATAAAATTTGTAAACAAACTATATTTGCTAATGTACAATTAAGTGCATACAAACATTAGACTCCAAGGATACTATACTAAATAAATGAGAAACATAGTCCCACCGTAAAATGAAAACTTACCACTTGCAAATTCACTGGGATGTGTTGTAATTTTTCTGGTACTTGCATCTAGAAGTTTTATCTTGATTCATTCTTTTTGCATTACACTCCACCAAATGGACCCTCTCTTCAATAACTGTTCTCCATGAGAATCTATTAATGGTTTAACAAACAATCATCTCTCACAAAGATAAAAATTGTAAGCAGCTAAACATTCTATGAAAATGACAATTAAAAAACTTTTAAATTAAAAAATAAGATGATTCAATTCCACCTGATTCAATGCTTTCATATGCCATTCATCCCTGCAGAATTTGCACTTGATCACCATTACAGATGAAAGTTCTCTCTTTTGAAATCACCTAATTCCCATAAAACCAAAAAAGCATTACGTGTCCAGCATTTGGGCATCATCAAATTTCCTTGACCACAAATTTCAAAGTAAAATTTAGATTCTGAGATCACTTACATGACAAAATGCAAGTAATATCTTCCAAGATATGAGGTTAGAAGCATCTACTCACAATTAATAAACAGAAAACAGAAGAGTTTAAAATAGAAATTTTGGTTTAAAATATTCTAAGAAAAAAGTTATCCTCCTACAGTGAAACCACCACCAGAAGAGTCAACCATAAAAGTTAGATCCTATAGCTAAAGCTTAAAATAATAAGTTCTACAATAACGCATACCAATTAACTGTTATTAATTCAATCAATATTTATTAACTTTATATTATGCTTTGACACAGGATATAGATGAAAGAGACACTATACTCAGTGGAGACTGACCAGTAAAGAGACAAGATCAATTATGATGTAAAAGAAGCTAAGAAAGAGGGCAAAAATGCATCTCACATAGTAAGGGTATTAGTTCATAGAACATTTTTCAGGTTTCTGAAGATGCATGTGTGTGCTGGGATGCATTACAATCAACTTCTTTCTTATGGTAAGCTGTCATCAGGGAAAGATTTTCAGAGACAATGAAGCCTGTGAATGAGCTCAATGAAAAACAGAAGCTTTTTCAAACCGAGAGAATAGAACAAGAAAAGATGTAAAAGCAAGCAGAGGAAATAGAAGTAAATGGAAATGACAAGAATCACTGCATCTGGAACATGGGTTAAGATGTGACAACCCTGGGCTGAGACTGTAGCTCAGTGGCAGAGCGCTAGCCTGGCATGCATGAGGCACTGGGTTCCATCCTTAGCACCACATAAAAATAAACAAATAAAAGTATTCTGTCCATCTACAACTACAAAAAAGCTTTTTTTTAAAGAGAGAGAAAGAGAATTTTTAATATTTATTTTTTAGTTTTCGGCGGACACAACATCTTCATTTGTATGTGGTGCTGAGGATCGAACCCGAGCCACACGCATGCCAGGCGAACGCGCTACCGCTTGAGCCACATCCCCAGCCCCTACAAAAAATTACTTTTTTAATTAAAAAAAAGATGTGACAACCTCCTGACCATAATCAATTCAAAGAAATAAATTCCGCAACACTATCAGTATACACAAAAATATATGAATAACTAAAGAAAGACATTTTACCCTTTCTACATAAGATGCACTCTGATACTGCTATTCGATTTTACTTCATCAAAAATATATGATGCTGGTCACAGCCTACTAAACAGAATTCATGACACCAAATAAAGAGTGATCCTCAAATTAAAAAGCACTATGAAATGAAATCATGTCAATGAGTCTGGACTTCATCCTGAATGCAATGGAAAACCATTAAAGGATTTTAGGGAGCAAATCCCAGAATCAAATTTGTATTTGGAGAAGAAAAGCAAAGATCCTATGGCTAAGTTTGGGTAGATGGATAAAGTACTGAAACTGACTTAACAAACAACAAACTAGTATGTCACCTAAGAAATGATGAAGGACACCAAGTGCAGCACACACCTGCAATCCCAGCAGCTCAGGAAGCTGAAGCAGGAGGATCATGAGTTCAAAGCCAGTCTCAGCAATTTAGCGAGACCCTGTCTCTAAATAAAATATTTTAAAAAGCCTGGGGGTGTGGCTTAGTGGTTAAGCACCCTTGGTTCAATCATCAGTACAACAAAGAGAAAGAAAAATGGTGAGAAACATGGTAAGCATCCCAGAAATGCTTATTTATAAGGGCTATGGGGTATGTCTGTGTTATGAAGTGACACAACAGAAAACATACTGGAAAGAGGACAGATCTAGAAGAACTTTAATGAAAAAAAACTGATAGGACATAGTGGTCAAATGAAGTAAAGGGCAGATTATATGATTAGTCCTAAATCTCTGGCTTAGGGACTAAATAAAGTTGGTATCATTCTCCAAGACAGGAAATAAAGAACAAGCTATGAATTTATGAAGTGCACTGTTTACCAATGCAACAACAAAATTATAACATAGTGAGAATGTGAAAAATACATCAATGATTATCAATACATTTCCATTCTCCCTTATAAACTTATAAAACGAACAATACCTGTATTTTCTCCCAAGGTCAATTTTTCTATGCAGCATGATTATTAGATTGTCAAATGTCATTTCTTTCTACTCCAACTTTTTAACCTAATTTAAAGTGGTCTCCTTGCTGTACCTTGCTTCTAAAAACAAAATACCATATGACAAAGTTAAGGAGCTGCTACCCTAATGGCAAATGAATGTATTTTTTAAAAAAATTCAAACACAATTAGATGTGGAACAACAAAAAGTTCTGAAACATAGCCAAAGTGAGCAATGCCACTAAGGCCATAACTCTAGGGTGGCTTCCTAATGTTTCAACAAAACAGTAGTTTCTGTAAGTAACATTAGGTAATACCACTGGCAAATCATCCATGAGTCAAACCCACATCACTCACTGGCTTAACATCAAGAAAATTCTCAACAAACATTTACAGTTATTAGAGCTCTATTACAGATATAGCATGCAAAATGCAACTAACATTTCCGTGCTAGATCAATACCACTGTCACTACGTTGAAATTAAATTTCATCTATGTAGTATGAAAATAATAGTAACCTCAAAAATCCTAAAAATTTTGGGATTACAATATTACAAAGTTTCAAAACTATGACATTAAACATTTTTAACATTGCTATGTCAGAAAAAATATAGTCAATTCACAGAGTAAGTTACCAAACATACCAAAAAAATTTTTTTGCAAGGGCCAAGAGAAAATTAATACTATTCTAGATCAATATATGAAATTTTAAACATTATTACAAGCAAAAATTAGTTTAGAAAACAAAGTTACAGCTGTGTATCTTTAAATATACTTATAAAGCTATTTGATTTGATTTATCCTACTCTGCAAAATGGTTAATCATGGCATTTAGCTCTACTTAAACATGAGGCTCTAGCTGCCTGTAATACTTAACCAATAAAGTAATTTTTAAGATATCATGTAGGTATTCCATTTATTATCAACAGAGTAGTAAATATATCTTGTACAGATGTTAAAACAGAGAAGCATGTTCAAATGGTAATACAGCTGCTTGCTTTCCAAGCTCTGTTTGGCCATCTTTAAAATGGGGCTAAAAATATCAATCTTACAGGGTTGTAATCATGCTTAAATGAGAAGTTGCCTGGCAAAGAAATATCTCCAAAATAGTAACTTTAAAGGGAAGTGTGAAGTAGGGGAGAGAGGGGAACTTAAAGATGAGTTTTACTTCTCCTTTTAAAACTCTAGAATGAAACAGTGTTTCAGGGTCCTATCCTTAAAAGTAGTGATACATATTAACCATACCTCAGCTAATTTACTTCCTCCCCCACCAAAATCTGTCAACTACTTGTTATGGGGAAAATTTTTTTTTTCAAAAAGTATAGCCTTTCAGCTAGTGTTATACCACAAGCGTGTAGTAAAGTTATATTTCTACATGTTTCCCTGGGATTTCTTCAAGCACAAAACCAAAAATAGAAGTTTGATCTAAAACAGAATAATCGAACTAAAAAAGCCCCTAATCTAATCTCTTTCAAGTGCAAGCAGGATGGTAAAAGGAGAAATGAAGCATGGAAGAAAATCATCCTTGATTTCAGAAGCTAATGAGACTATATAATTAAAGCAGGGTATTCTGAATCAATTGCTAAATTCTCCAAGAAGATTTTTGTAAAAACATGGGTGGGGCAAAGTGTCAAAGCATAACATTCTTGCACCATCAATGATTTCAAGAATCTACAGTGTAGAACAAGTATCTAAGCCACTACATTCTGGACAAAACTAAACATAAGCTGTTGTTCTTCACATAAACCTGCTCTTCTGGACACCTGCCTCAGGAGTGAAAAATAAATAAAAATACTGCATCTCTATTAATAATACTGCACTACAGTGACGTATTTCATCTGAATCTTCTAACAAATAGTAGAAATAACTTAGAAGATATGGGATGACAGCAATTAAAACTACCAAATGTTGTTTTAGTCAGTACCAAATATCTATGTGGGGAATATTCATTTAGGAAGGAAGGAATGTGGGAGAAAGGATAGAAAAAGCAAGATTCAATGTAGAATAGAGACAGGAAGCAATGAGAATCTTTGCTTCAAAAATGGTACAAAGAAGCTGGGCACAGTGGTTCATGCTTATAATCCCACCTAGCAGGGAGTCTAAGTCAGGATTCTAAGTTCAAGGTCAACCTGGGCAACTTAGACCCTGTCTTTAAAATACACACACACACACACACACACACACACACACACACACACATATACGCACATATGTGTGTGTGTATGTGACACATTTCATCTGAACATATACACACACACAAACACACATACACACGTGTGTGTGTGTGTGTGTTTGTATGTGTGTGTGTGTGTGTGTGTGTGTGTATTAAATTAAATAAGAAAGTAAAAGGAAAAAAACTTCAGGTATGGTAAAAGCTAGACTTGAAGAGGCTAAGGTTTTTCCTGGGTATAAATAAGGCATGTCTTCCAAATAGTAAGGTAGGCCAGCTTCTGGCCACCTAATACCCACTGTACCAAGATATACTGGAAGAATAAAAAAGAAACTAAATTAGACTGTCTTTGCACCAGAATTAACCAAAGCAGGCCTAATCTAAAAACACTAACACTAGATGGAAAATCTCTCCTCACCTACTTGCTGAAGCTGAAAATCCTGCATATGTGAAAGTTATTCATTCTATAATTATAATTTAAGGCTTTCAGAAGTCCAGTTAAGATCATACTTGAGCATTTTAAGTTAGAATTAAAAGCAAAGTATATATGAATGGTATAATACCAATTTATAATATATATATATATATATAATTTAATATTATATATGAATGGTATAATACCAATTTATCTAACCTGACCTTTTGTGAAAGGAGCAGCACATAGGTGAGGAGAGTTGATGTTGATTTAGCCTCCAAAATGGAGAAGAAGGTTAATTTACACAGGGAGGAATAATACAAAGGAAAAGAAGGCCTAAAGGGCAGATGACAAACTTGGAAAACATCACATTTTGCCTAGGGTAGATCTAAAAAGGGCAACAAAATAAGCAAATTACCATTATACTAAGGTAGCTATCAATGCAGCTTCACAGGTCCATGAAAATGTGCTTTTTAAACTAGTTGATCCAATTTATCAGGAATTCTTGACCAACAAATCACTATTCTGGCAATAAGACTGGTATTTTTCCAATTCTTTCTCCTATTTATTATTATTGATTCAAAATATGTCAAACATTTTCAAATTTGATGAGGTATTTATAAACTGATTATGCCAATAGGTGCTAAATTTTCTTTTATTTCTAACACATTTGAAAATTTGAATCTTAGACTTAATACTTTGCCAAAGTTATATTCTTTATTCAAAAAGTAAAGCTGAATTTACTAATAACCTTCAGGCAATAAAAACAGCTTTTCCTCTGCTTTCCCTGTTAAGCCTGGTACTGACACTATCACTGTGTAGCCTTTTATGCTGAAAAATTTTCATTGACTCAATCTTAATTACAATTCCAGGAAAATAGCTCCATGGAGACACTACTAGATTTCTCAATCAGTTTCTTTCCTAATCCATGGCATTATTTTATTCAAGAACTTTTTCACAGGTTCTGAATCACAAACTATGAATTAAAACATAGATTTAAATCAGGCAGTGGGAAAATAAGTAAAAGTTTTATGATTCGCTGATTACTTTTTGTCTTAGAATCTAACTTATTAAGCTGATGGTTATATATATTTATTTTTAAATGTTTAAACTTCTTTTATTAAACGAAGTATGCTATAGACAGGCAACATGACATAATTCTTATCACCCATTTTCAAAACATGCTTTGTTTCATTTACTCCAACCACAGCTTCTAACATATGTTTAAACTAACAGAAATCTCAACAGTTTGAAGAGACCCAGCATAGTTCTATTGTTTTACGTGCAAAATGATGAATTCTAAAGTTGATCTATTCTAGCACTATCTCAAAATTTTACTAATATTTTTCATCAGGTGAATGTTTTAAATATACCTTCCACATGTTAAGAGTCTTACAAACATGGCAATTTTCGAAAATAAAAAGTGGAAAAGCTTTAAAATAAAGAATAAGCCTTAAGGAATTTAGTCTTGACTCCTTAGCTGTATGGATAAGAAAACAACCTGGGTCACTGACCTACCAATGACCCCACAGCTGGATAGTAACAGAAATGGGAATAGAATCTGGTTTTACTTTCCACAAAACCAAATCTCATTTGGTTCTTTCCAGTTGATTTCTCACCTCATCTCTTTTTCAAAAATCTTTTTGCTATTAAGTGATAGCACAACTAAGCCAATAAAAAGAGCAATTCTCTGAATTTTATCTTTAAAATAAATCTAAAGAGTTGGAAGAAGTTAATGGAATACTACATAAAAAGCCTTTTAATCCAGGAACAGTACACTCTAAGCAGTCATCAAATGGTAAGTACTATTATTATTTTTACCACAAGTTAGGTAGTGAATGCTTTTAGGTGCACATATTAACATAGTAGCTGAAGAAACCATTTGAAACATCTTTTTAACTTGCACTTAATTATCCTTATTTGTCTTTAGACAGTAACTTTACCTATGATTTATTTATAGCCCGCCCACAATGACCTTGATTTTTTTTTCCTCTTGTACTTTTATGACTGCTGTACTGCAATATTTTCAAGAAATAATTGGTCAAGTCCTCTTAGCCCTGGAGATACAGACTTTCTCCACTGACTCACAAGAGATCTAAAAATGTGACCAAAATATAGCTTGAAAAAGACCATAATTTAAATGGTCTCTCCAGTTAAAATCCAGCAACCTATAAGGGGGAATGGTAACAAGTGCAAACTGCTGCCATCCACCCATAAGAAATTTTCTCTAAAACCCCTTTGGTTGGGGATGGGGGAAGAAGGTCAATAAAAGAGCCAACTATTTCTTCTCCTGGTAGTCCTTTGCCGCTTCTCGCCAGCGGTCTGAGAATGAATGAAAGGTTCTGTCACAGCAGAGAGAAATCCGGAATCCTGGTGCAGGTCTCCGGGAGGGAGTGCAGAAAGGGAAACTGGTTTACAGGGAGGAAACTCCAGGCATTGACTTTGTTTTTTAACTAACCCAAAATCACATCCACTAGAGCAGGAACCCACCCATCACCAGTTATGGGAGGGGCACCGGCGGGTGGCTCCGGTGCTGGCAGAAGGTGCTCTGAAAACCGCCAGGCCTGGGGCTGGGAGGGCGCGGAGAAGTCCCGAGGTTCCCAGCCCGGGTTCCGAGGGCGCGCGGGGACAGGTGCAGCTAGGGCTAGGGAGGCACCGCGAGGGCGCGGGGAGCGTGGTCGGTGGCCCGGCGCCCCGCGGGGAGGGCGGGGCCGGCRGGGGCGTCCCCCTCCCCCCCGCGCCTGCACACACTTACCGGCGCCGGCTGGCTAGCCTCTCGCCGCCGCTGCTCACGCGACCGCCCRCGACTCTACCCACGCCTTTTTCTCCCGCGCCGCCGCCCAGGCCGGGCCGCTCTCCTCTTCCGCTTCCGGGAGCCCCAGCGCCAGGACCGGCCGACTGGGTGTCCGCATGCCCGCGCGCCCGCGCGGGGAGGGATCGGCCGCCGCCGCCGCCGCCGCCTCCGTAGCAGTCTCCGCTTCGCGCCCAGGAGCCGCGATGGGAGCCGCGGAGGGCCGAAAGACCAGAAATCGCGCGGTGGGCCGCCATCACCGGAACACTCTACCTGAAGTACCTCAGTGTCTCCGCCCTTCCCTTTGGTCCCCTTCCTGGCTTTGCCCAGGTCGTCCTTCTCGTCCCCACACCCTTCACTGCACCGGGTTGGGGCCTAATCCTTAAGGATTGCAAGTATCCTCCTTTCTTCAGAGGATATGGCCAACAGGCCTCTCTCCCCCCTGACGTGTTCTTGACGTCCCCCGGTACCTTGCTCCAAGTATGGTCTGCAGCATCCTCTGGAACTTGTAGGAAGTGCATAATATCAGGCCTACTGAATCAGTACCTGCATTTTAACAGGATCTCCGGCTGATTTTTAGGAGTGCACCTTAATCATTGCAAAGTACTGCACTGTAGTGCTTGCTTTACCCATTTTTGACCCTCTGTTTGGGATACTACAGCCATCCAAGATTTTTCCTATTCCTATTGGTAACCTCCATCCGTAGCCAAATAAGCCTTACTTTTATTTCAGAACTCCACAGGTTGTCAGCTCTTCTATCCGTGTAGGATAGGAAAAATAATTTAACTGAGCAATGCTAACAACACATCCCGGTAGAATTTGGTATCTTCACCAAACCTACGAAATACACTAAAAAAACCTTTCCCATCTCATCCCAGCTAAAAGGAATTTGAAAAGCTCAAACTTTCTGCAGTGATGGGCAGCTGGTGTGGATGGAAGAAATAGTTCCTGCTGTATGAAGTCTGTACATAAGATGGAATTGAAAGCCTTCTACCAATAGGTTCCTTCCTACCTCTCAAGTCTTAGCTCCAACTAAATTGGTTTATTTCCTCATATTATGAATGTCTTCCATCTTCTCTCCGATCATTTTAATCCTGATCCAACTTGAAAGTCAGCTGAAATCCTGACATCCCAGAATTCCCCCTCACCACTATTCTTGGACCACATTCATTGTAGCTTTGGGGAACCCTTATGTTACCTTGTATTGCTAGGGTTTTAAAAATATATTTTATCCAGATTGAAATGATTACAAACCCCTTGTGATCTTAAAGACATAGATTAGTTGTTTTCAAAGTATAGATCCTAGACCAACAGCAGCAGTAGCACCTGGGAACTTGTGAGAAATCATATTCTCCAGCCTCCACCCCAAATCTATAGTAATAGAAATTTTGGAGGTAGAAGCTAGCAATATGTGTTCTAACAAGTCTTCCAAGATTCTAGTGCACACTAACATTTCAGAATTGCTGACCTAAAGTATTGTATTCCAAAAGAACCCAAATGATAGGGATTGGTTTGACCCCATTCATACAGAGATAGGTTTGAAGACTAGTCACAATTCCTTTTGGAAGAATTAGCTTGGATTTTCATAATTCATTTGATATAGTAGGATTTTTGTAACTTGGGTTGTTTGGATAGGAAAAAAAAAACATTAGATAAAAGCAGTCACTTTGAAGGAAAACACATAGAAACCCCTTCCCCAAATCCTGCTACCTGAATTGCATATTGTTTTGCTCTCTCTTCATTTACCCCTGTGAAAGGGAATAATTAAGGTCAAATGATCTCAACATGCCCAAATCAGAATTAATTGAAAGGCATATGAATGTGAATCAAAAGTGTTTATATTTCCAATGCCTTTATGTGTGTGTGAGTTAACATTCTCATATCAGCCAAGTCAATTCCACAGGAATGAGAGAAGTGTTGGTAAAAATATTCTCAAATCATTAAACATTTTTAGCATGGGCAGTTAAGACTATAAGTCCTGTCTATCCTCTGTACTGAAGGTCAAGTCATTTCATCCTAAGCATCAGACACCTGTGTCATCAGATAATCTTTTCATATTTACTGTAAGGATGGAAAGAATACATATATTGCAGTGATGTGCAGTTAGATTATTGTGCCTTCCTGCCACAGAAGATAGTATGTGGAAATATAGATATAGATAGACAGATAATATCAATCACAGTATATTTTTCTTCCAAAATTCCAGTCTGTTTTATGGACCTGTGATGGACTGAAATGTGATTATTAACTAAATTCAT